AAAACGGCCAGGGCTGGGGCTCCCTGAGCAGGGAGCGGGGTGGCAGGGCCAGACTGGTGACACAAGGTCCCCGAGCCTGACTCAGGCCGGCGTGGCCGCGCGGGAGCCGGGAGCCTGGAGCACGCGATGTGGCGCGGAGGACGACCCAGCTGGGATTCGCAGCTAGGAATTGGATCAGTGAGAGGGAGTCAATGTGGTACACGCTCTCTATCTTTCGTCTTTCTTTCTTTTTGGGGGGAGTGGAGGGAGGAGGTGGTTTGGAGCGGGGGTGGGGAGGAAGAAACCCTTTCTGCCTTTTTTGTTCAGGTTCCCTGCCTGCTGCACTGGAGCGCGAAGGGGCGCGGGGTGAGAGGGGATTTTAGGGAAGAGAAGAAGGGGGCCCCGCGTCTAGAAGCTCGGAAATGGGCAAACCGGCCCAGCCCGGCCCGGGAGGCGGAGGAAAGCTAGATACGCCGTGCGGGGACCCCGCCCAGCCCCTCTGGCAGAGTCCATGGCGACCCCGCCGCTTTCTAATTGACAAGAGGGCCTCTGAGTGGCACTTTGTAATTTGGTGTCGATTTACAAGCCAGAAGGACTTCTGCTTCCTTACCTAACAGGTCCTCTGTCACGGCCTGACCCCTTTCAAGAGAGGGCCCTGGAGACGGGAGCTGGGCTCCGTGCGCCATCGCTTTCAGTCAAGCTCGGAGGTAGTGGGCGCCAGGCCCTTCCCTGGGGCGGGAGACCCAGTAACCTGGGGAGTAAATGAACCCTGTTGTTGAGATTCAATTATGTCAAGACACTCCGTCCTCACTCTTCTCGAGTCTGCACACCCATTCGGGTCAAGGAAGGAAGACCACTCTTCCCATTTTGCAGATGATGCAACTGAGGCACAGAGAAATAACTGAGCGAGAGAACTCAGGCCCTCTGACTCGTATTTCCTCTGAAAATTTAGTTTACTGGCCAGTTTGTGCAGCTGTAGATTCCTTTTATGATCTGATCAAAGCTTTGATCATTTCTCTCCGGAAAAATGCATATAATTTCGCATTCAGTATCAGGAGCTTTTCTTTCCGAAGTTTGTTCCAGGAGAAAAGTCCTCCTCCCTCCCGCCCCACCACCTCACCTTCCAGCACTTGGTGGGATCGTGATTCTCTGGGGGTGTTCAGGGCCGGGGGATGCGGTGCGAATTCAGCCGGACCACGATTATGGCCGTATGTCCCCAAGGGCGGCAGCCCGGGTGCAGGGCAGGTAGGACAGACTCGGGAAGGGGAACAAGTGGGATGGGGCGGGGGGAGGCTGCTGCGCAGGTTTTTGCTGGGACCGGGGGAGAGTGGCAGGGAGGGACCGGTCCTGGCCCACCCACCCGACCGTTCTGGGGCCTCGTCCTCTCCGAACGTCCCAGGAGCCAGCTCCAGCGTCCTCGGCGCCTCACCTCTGCCCAGTCGATCTCAGGCCGGCGTGGTACTGTACACAAACCCCCTTTGCTTCCTCCTTACAGAACAGCTTTAAAAACGGGAGCTAGTTCAAGGGCGGCTCCTTGTTTGTTTTCTGTTTTGCAAACGGATGCTCACTCTTTCCCCCCACCCCCCACCCCCGCTCCGCCTTCCCCTTGGTCTGGTTACCCAAATTTCTTGATTTTGTTCCTTAATATTTAAATTAACTGGTAAGAGCTAATGATTCAATCTCCCAACTCCCACCCTCGACTGTAAAACCAACGTTGTGGTTAGGTGTCCTCCGTCGATTCCAGCTCATAGCGGCCCTTTGTGACACAGTAGAACCGCCCCATAGGGTTTCCTCAGCTTTCATCTTTACGGGAGCGAATTGCCAGATCTTTCTTCCTCTCAGCAGCAATAAAAAAGAGAAAAGCCCAGCCTGCCAGCCGCGTGCGCTCAGGGACCTGGTGGGGGTTTGCCATTTGCATGCACGAATCGGAGCGGAAGCACTGAAATACCTGTTTGCAAAGGCGAGAATGTAGCTAGGAGAGGAAGATTCCAAAAAAGCCAGAAGGATTTGGTAAAAAAAAAGTGCAGGGTCCTGTTACAGGAGCGCTGCCCCTAAGGACAGGTACAAAACTAGAAGCGGTGCGCCCGACTGAAATAAACAACGCCAACGCTCTGGCTGGGAGCCAGGTTTCCGAGGCGTCAGAGCAGAGGCCCACCTAGGACCGAAGGTGCTAGACCACTGCCCTCCCCCAGACCCGGGGCTCCTCTCGGGGACTCAGATTAGTAAACAAACAAATCAGCATCAACAACAGCAATAAACCCAAGAATAATAACAATTTTCCACCCACAGCGCAGGGCTGCAGTCAAGAATTCAAACGCTCTAACGTAGTTAGTAAAAAAGCACTTGGATGAGTATTAAAACCACGAAAAAGGTGAAACTCACGGGTGTCAGTAGCCGGTGCCAAGGGAGAGAGCCACCAGCGGTCTGCGTGACCCTTTGTCCGGGGTCTGAGCGCGCCCCACAGGCGCCACGTTCTGGGATCCACTCCCCAGTCACCCTCCGAGACTCTCGGGGGACGCAGCAGCCGACAGAAATAAGCAGGACTTTCCTCTTCGTCCTTCACGTAGTGACGCTAGCGGCTCTGCGGAGCTGCACCCGCACGAATGGAAATCCCAGCGTCTGGTCCCCAGAGAAGAGCTTTCCCACACGGTCAAAGGCACTGGAATACCTGCGCGTCTGCCCCGCCGCCTGCCGAGCGCGTTAGTTTCACCGTAATTCCTACGGTGCCCGGTGCCGCGGGAACAAAGGCAATCTCACCTTTCGGAGTTCGGTTAATTTCTAACTTTCTGACCGGCTGGGACAAAAGTCACATTGGAACCAGTTCGGCAATTTCCTTCCTTCAACAAATATTTGTTGTGGGCCTACTATGTGCTTAGTGCAATGACACCCAACTTCCTAATCTGTTCCTAAGCAGATTCTCCCTGTAAGGCATTGCTTATTTATAGGTGTAACTAAAAAAGTGTGCAGTTTTAAATCTAGTTTAAGAAAGAAAAGACAGCGTTGAGTTAGGGCATCAATTCTTTCTTTCAGTACGAAGGAAATTTAACTGTTATTAAACATTATGTGAGGGATATTTGAGGGAGACGATAGAAAGTCTTTCTTTTCTTTAATAAACACACTGGATCACATTCTTAAAAAAGTCATGTATTTAAAAGCTTACGTTTAAAAACACCCTTTGACTGAATGTACTGTACCTGAATCTCTTAATGGCATGTATATCCGTTCTCTGCAAAATTAAGTATAATAGTAATTGACAAAGCAGAAAAATGTAGGGAAAAGAAAAATGTTAAGTAACTCAGCGACCTGGTGAAGGTTAACGAGGAGCTGCTTTGCATTTTCCGTACGCGTGGCGCTAGCCACAAAAATACCTGCAGGTCTTTTGCCCGCTAACCAGGCACACTGGTTGCAAGGTAAGGATTGCTTTACTCCTGCAGGAGAAGGTAGGATGCCGCTGTGCGCCCCATTAGAGCGGCCTCATGTCCGTGCCCACTTTTGGGTTAATGGTTAAGCCGCGGTCTTCACCGGTAATGCTGATCGCGTGGAGACCAACAATAGCCGTTCTGATCTCCTGCCTTGTCGTCCGTTACCTTCTCTTGTTGACGACGGGATTCGTAAGAGTATGTCTGTGCTGGTTTCCCGGTTCGCGAGGTACATGGCGACCTCTCCTCCGCGGGCGCGGTTCCCCTTGGATTTTGCCGCGGGGACCTGGACCCGGCTGTAGCGAAGGCCGCGCGGGCGGACTCTGGCTGAGCAGCGGGGAGGAGCGCCGGGATGCAGGAGGCGGAGGGCCTGGGCCGGCGCGCCTCGGCCAATCAGCGCGCACACCGACTGCCAGCTGGCCAATCAGTGGCTCGGAGCCGGGGCCCGAGTGGATAATACTCGGAAGGGGAGCGGAGGCTGAGACTGCAGCGAGCCGTGCGACGCGGCGCGGGCAGTGAGCGCCCGGGAACCCACGCGCGGAGCCAGGCTGGGGCAGCCCACCCTTCCGGCCACGCCGAGTTCGAGGAAGCCGAAAGCGGCCCAGCGAGGTGAAGGCCTGGGCTGCCGAGGACCGATCGGAGCTTTGCAGGGCCCGGGATGTGTGGGCGAGTCGGCTGAGGACTCAACTCTGCACCCGTCGTCCCCTGGCGGGTGGCCTCCAGGTGTCAGCCCGTAGCCACCCCGATTTCGCTGTGCGAGCACATCCAGCAGCCTGTGAGTCCGATCCCAGAGCTGGCTCTGCTAGCCCCGGCCTCCGAGTGTTGGTGAGTCCCGTGATGTCGCTGGGGTGTCGGGGGTGGGGGGCCGGGCACGGGGCGTGGATCTTCGGTTCTCATTTTTTTTCAGTGTGATTTGTCTGGGCGCCTTGCCTTAAAGATGCGAATCAAGCCGGGGTACACAGACTTTGCGCGGGTCTGCCCCGCGCGGCCGAAGCGCTGCAGATGCTGCACGCCGCTCTGGGCTCGGTGTCCCTTTGGGGCCTCGAAGATAGCAGAACAGTTCTGCTTTTTAGTTGATTATTTGGGGTGGAAGGATGAGAGGCCCTCCAAGGTCAAGGAGGAGACCTTGTGCGGTGTAGAGGGGGTGAGAGGCGTTGGGAAAGACGGAGTGGTGCTCGCTGCGCAAGGCCCCTTGTAATCAAAAGGAAGATAACTATTCTGTCGACATTTTTATAAACGTCACGGTCATTCTCGTTGGGTCTGGGGAAGACTGACAAGTGGCCTGTATGTCTCCAAGTGTAGGGGACTAGGCCGGCCCAGTTGGACACAAGACTTTGGTGCATAAAGCTTATCTAGAGCGAGAGGGCAGCGGTTCAAGGTCAGGCGCTCACCGAGCACTTACAATTAGTGGAAGAAAATCCCGGTTGGTTTGGGGGTCCCGGCGGGGCTCTAAAGGGACAGGAAAGGCGCGTGGGGCCCGACTGTGGGTGACGGGCGGACAACGGGAGTGCTCCCGGGGCCGAGGCAGGCCGGCCGGCGACGCCGTGGGTCTCGGGGTGTCTCTGTGTCTCCCCAGAGCGCAGGCCGAGGAGGCGCGGCGCCATGGCTGAGGGGCAGGCGGGACCAGGGCCTGGAGACTGGGAGATCGACGTGGAGAGCCTGGAACTGGAGGAGGACGGCGGTGGAGCGCCGCCGCCGGCCGCTGGGGACAGCGAGGACGACGAGGACGAGGACGAAGACG